CCAGAATAAAGCGACTTTTGTGAGTGCAATTTTATTGTATTTTAACATACACTATTGAATAAATCCTGTTAAAAACCATTGATGGATTGGCACCTCTTTCTCTCCTTCCCCTTCTTCTGTTGAAGCTTTAGAGTTCCCAGCCCATCCAAAGAAGCAGCCCATACTCTGACTCCAGCTAGCTGTGTCAGCAAGAGACAATCCACTAATTGATTATAGCCCAGACCACTGGGGTTCTTTTAAGATTTATATATGTTTATATACACATGCATATATAGTTGTCATTTTATATAATTGCTTAACAACATTATTTGAGGAGTACCTATTCTCATCTGATGTCAATATAGTCCCTCATCCCTCAAAATACACTCAACTTGAATGTTTAAGATCATCCCTTGACTGTAACCAGCAACTAGTGTAGCACCGAGTGTTGGTAGTTATTCTCTTTATTGGCTTAAAGTGTAACTTTAAGAAAACACAAATCATTTAAATAACATGTTTTGGTGATGGCATAAACTTGCACTTACAGTATGATGCAGTTGTTTAAAAGTGCAATCTTTTTGTTTAAACAGTGGTAAGAGATCTGTTCTTTAGTAGTGGTAGCACTGCCACCACTAAGACTGGCCCTTTTTATGCTGTAAAAAAGCCCTATATTAAAAATATAAAAAATAATTTAGGTCCTCCTATTTTGAATAACAGCATTGTAGATCCTTGTCAGTCAAAATGACCCACCACTCGATGATGTTTGTTAACCTACTGACATGAAGACCTCCCACTTGACAATGTTCACTCATTGCACTACATTATTTAAATGATAGATCATAGGCAGGCTGCTGTTTGTAAAGAAACTATCCAAGAATGCTGAGTGACATCATTGATCAAATATGGTCATAACCACGCTTGGTCAATGACTTTACCGAGCCACTTGCCGCCCTGCCACTGTGTATATACGTGTGCAGGGCGGCAGTGGAGTGCAAAAGCACATTTTAAAACGTGCTCCGCGCTCCCGACACATTCGCGGGTAGGGGGCGCGCGCGCGCGCGCGCTCCCGCTGACCCGCGGGTGATACGATTCGATCCAGGAGGGATCGATCATTAGATTTCAGCCAGTGATTTCTGGCTGAAATCACATGATCGGTCCCTGTCCTATCCTATCCTGTGTTGATATTTACACAGGGCAGGATATGATGTCATTCCTCTCTGCCTGGACACATTCCGTTCCAGACAGAGAAGAAGACATCCAAAAAGTGAGTACACAAGTACTACACTACAGTTAGAACACACTAGGACACATTTAACCCCCTGATCGCCCCCCCCCCCCCCCCCCAGTTAACCCCTTCACTGCCCTGTCACCAGTGTCACTGATCAGTGAACCAATTTTTACCGATCACTGTATCAGTGTTGCTGGCGACTTCCGATAGTGTTAGCGCCCCCTCCCAGATAGCGCCAGATTGCCCGCTAATACACCAATAATCCCGTCTAACCCCTTGATCGCCCCCCCCCCCCCCCCCCGAGTTGACCCCTTCACTGCCCTGTCACCAGTGTCATTGATCAGTGAACAGATTTTTACTGATCACTGTATCAGTGTCGCTGGCGACTTCCGATAGTGTTAGCGCCCCTCCCAGATAGCGCCAGTTTGCCCGCTAGTGCACCTGAAATCCCATTTAACCCCTTGATCGCCCCCCTCCCCCCCCCCCCAGTTAACCCCTTCGCTGCCCTGTCACCAGTGTCATTGATTACAGTGAACAGATTTTTACTGATCACTGTATTAGTGTCACTGGTGACTTCCGATAGTGTTAGCGCCCCTCCTAGATAGCTCCAGTTTGCCCGCTAATGCACAAGATTTTTTTTACCAAAAACATGTAGCAGAATACATTTTGGCTTAAATTTATGACTAACTTTGAGTTTACAATATATTTTTTATAGCTGAAAGTAGAAAATATTGTTTTTTTTTCAAAATTTTTGTGGTTTTTTTTGTTTATAGCGCAAAAAATAAAAAGCGCACAGGTGATCAAATACCACCAAAAGAAAGCTCTATTTGTGTGAAAAAAATGACGTAAATTTTGTTTGGGTACAGCATTGCATGACCGCGCAATTATCATTTGTGTTAGTGCAGCGCTGTATAGCAAAAAAAGGCATAAATTACAGTATCTATACCATAGTTTGTAGACGCTATAACTTTCACACAAAGCAATCAATATACACTTATTGGGATTTTTTTTACCAAAAACATGTAGCAGAATACATTTTGGCTTAAATTTATGACTAGCTTTGAGTTTACGATATATTTTTTATAGCTGAAAGTAGAAAATATTGTTTTTTTTTCAAAATTTTTGTGGTTTTTTTGTTTATAGCGCAAAAAATAAAAAGTGCACAGGTGATCAAATACCACCAAAAGAAAGCTCTATTTGTGTGAAAAAAATGACGTAAATTTTGTTTGGGTACAGCATTGCATGACCGCGCAATTATCATTTGAATTAGTGCAGCGCCAAACAGCAAAAAAAGGCTTGGTCATTAAGGGGGGTAAATCCTCTGGGGCTCAAGTGGCTAGAATCCTTGGTCAGTCTGTTTACAAACACCAGCTGGCTTGTGATGTGCTATTTAGTGGTGGTAGTGTGTGAGTGTGTGCGTGCATGCATGTGTGTGTGTGATTGGTTTCCCTCACCCAACAGTCTCTGAGGACACCCCATCAGGTAGGAGGGTGTAATTTTTTACCATCATGCAGCTTAAGTTCTGAGGTGAGCAGGAAAACAGCAGGACACCAATGATTGGATCACCTATCACAGCTGCAACAGCTGTAAGCTATGACATGGTGAAACAATTAGAGAGATAGAGAAGGTAAAGCCTGGAAACATAGGTGAGCTAATGGGATATATTAATGTTTTCTGTTGGGAACAAGATTAGTAGGTACACCAATGGACCCCATTATAGTTTGTTGTTGAGATGAACTCAAGAAAGATCATTTTCTTTATTATTTTCAATTATACAGTAAAAACTGTACAGTTTGATCAGTTTATAGTTAATCAAAGAATTGCCATAAAATACAGTTTGTCAATTTGGAATGCAAAGACCAAGGAATTGTGTACAAGACTTTTTTCTAAAATTCAGAAGATTAAAATAATTTCTATTGAATTATACTATAAAGACTAAGGACATTCCTGTCAGATTCTGGTTTAAGAAATATTTATAGCATCCAATGGATGAATAGTTGTTCCTGCTGAGATCTGTTTGCATGGTTAACCCCTTGCCTACAGGGCACTTATACCCACTTCCTGCCCAGGCTAATTTTCAGCTTTCAGCGCTGTCACAATTTGAATGACAATTGTGCGGTCAAGCAACGCTGTACCCATATGAAAATTTTTATCATTTTTTTGAGACAGATAGAGCTTTCTTTTGGTGATATTTAATCACCTCCGTGTTTTTTATTTTTTTGCTAAACAAACCAAAAACAACTGAAAATGTTGAAAAAAATTTTTTTCTTAGTTTTGCTATAAAATGTTGTGAATAAGTGATTTTTCTCCTTCACTGATGTGCGCTAATGAAGCTGCAGTGATGGGTACTGATAGGCTGCACTGATGGGCACTGAAAGGCAGCACTCATATGTGGCACTGATAGGCGGCACTGATAGGTGGCACTGATAGGCAGCAATGACTGGCACTGATAGGTGGCACTGTCCAGCACTGTTAGGCAGCACTGACGGGCACTGATAGGCGGCACTGATGTGCACTGATAGGTGGCACTGACTGGCACTGATAAGCAACACTGACTGGCAGTGATAGGTGGCACTGATTTGCAGCACTGATAGGTGGCACTGACTGGCATTGATAGGTGGCACTGACTGGCTATAATAGGTGACACTGAAAGGCAGCTCAGATGGGTGTTGATATGTGGCATTGATGTGCATTGGTAAGCACTGATATGTGGCAATAATGTGGCACTGATAAGCACTGGCAGGTGGCATTGATGAGCACTGACAGCTGGCATTGATGGACACTGACAGGTGGCACTGCTGGGGCTACACTGATCATCAAGGCACACTGATCATCAGTGCCCTGATGATCAGTGTACATGTCCCCTCTGAGGGATGCCGATTACCGGCTCTCCACTCCTCACGAGCTGTCAGCGTAACATCTCATAAGGAGAGAAATGTCAATAACCGGCATTTCCCTATTTACATGCGATCATCTGTGATTGGACACAGCTGATCACATGACTGAGCCAACATCTTCGGCTCTTTCCATTGATCAGTGATCCGCTTTGTCCGAGGGACACAGCGCACCATCGATTGCCGCACTGCGCACCCCCGGAGCAGCGCAAGCGCGGTTAGAGTGGGAGGATGTCATATGACGCCCTCCCAGAACAAGAGAACCGCCTTGCGCCCGTCATTACCTTATATGGCAGGTGGCAGGCGGTTAAAGATATTTTTAAGAAATATTTTACTTAAAAAAAAAAAACAAAAGACGCTATTATCTTTTAAAACCTGTGCAGTAAAAGCAGGACAGCCATCAGAAATTTTGGGGCCCCTTACATAGCTTTAGGCCTGGGCCCCTACGGGTCTGACCACCAACATTCCCCACGGATCTCCCACTGGCCATTCCACTGAATCCATCCACTGTCCAGGGGTGTACACATGTCGTAGCCACAACAGGAATTATACACCCTGTTGCACTTAACAGGTGTAGCACCTGAGAAGTGTGGCCCATTCAAATGAAAGGGCCAACTCTGCAAATGCCCTTTAGAGTAGGATCCAAGGGGTTAAAGCAGGTGGTTAGGAGGCAATAAAATGCCTCCTCACTGTCTGATATAACCCTTTGGTTGATGTACTGCATAAGCTTATAGACCAAACTCTAAGAAATGCATTGAGTTCTGTCCAGTCCACCAAGGCTGTTCCCACTATGGGGTTGATTTACCAAAACTTGAGCGTTCAAAATCTGTTTCAGCTCTACATAGAAACTAATCCTAAACTAACTTCCAAGTTTTATTGTCAAAGCTTAAAGTGTTACTAAACCAACAACAGCAAATCAGTCTGTATATGCAGTAAAGCATGCTTGTTATACTCACTGGGAAACCTAAGGGGTTAATCCTCTGCATTGTGGAAAAAGGCCATTTGATCCTGTCTTCTCTGCTCCTCCTGCTTGTTCAAATGTCTACGTCTTATGACCTGATAAGACAGACTGAACCATAGGCATTCTGCACATGCTCAGTTTAGTGTGTATTGCTAGAGAGGTTTTTTTTTTTTGGGGGGGGGGGGAGTGCATGAAATCAGCACAGGAGCAATCAGCACTCTGCAGACAGAAGTCAGGGGGGTTTGCCTCCTCCTAGAGCAGAAAGAAAAGAAAACTTCTACAAGCTTTGACCAGTGCTCTGCTGGACACTGATAGAAGTCACAAGACTGCTGTAACTGCTGATGAGAAAAGGTATTTAGCAGTTTATATTTACTAAAATAATTGAGAACTTCCATGTTCTGTTTACTGTGGGAAACCAGATATAGTAAATGCAGGGTCCTGGGTTTAGTAACACTTTAACTGAACAAGCTAAAATTAGAAGCTGATTGGCTACCATGCACATCTGCACCAGATTTTTCACTTTCCAGTTTTAGTAAATTAACCCCTGTCACGGTATAGGGGCCCCTGCCAATTATTGATTTAATTTAATCCCCTTATTAATTCCCTGTACCAAACATCCCTCAGATTCTCTGTATGTCCTCTGTGTCACTCTGCCAAATGGCCAAATTCAATTATTGCGACTTCCCCACTCCTGGCCAGCTTGTTGCCAGCTTGCTGTATGTCCTCAAGTTGCCCTCCATAATTCCTGGCACCAGCCCCTCTGATGTCCCCGGGGGTCCGGTGTCATCCTGGCCCTCATTGTGTCCCCTGTCGCCAGCTTGATTCATCCCTGGGGTCTAGTGTCCCCCCCTCCACCTCTCTTCCTGCTGCAGTGGGATGAGAGGTGCGACTTTCACCACCGTGCTCCAGTCATCTTTTCACCACTGCGCAGCCATTGAAGGAGCCCAGCTATGGTGGGACCTTCGTGGCTAGACTCTACAGAACCCTCAGCTAAATGGGGAACCGCACCCAAGCCTGCCCGAGACCCCCAGCATAGGGGAGAGATTGCCTGCTAGCTGCCCAAGCCCCAGTCCGGGGGGAGAGATTGCCTGCTAGCTGCCCAAGCCCCAGTCCGGGGGAGAGATTGCCTGGGAGTTGCCCAAGCCCCAATCCGGGGGGAGAAATTGCCTGCTAGCTGCCCAAGCCCCAGTCCGGGGGGAGAGATTGCCTGTGAGTTGCCCAAGCCCCAGTTCGGGGGGGGAGAGATTGCCTGCTAGCTGCCCAAGCCCCAGTCCGGTGGGAGAGATTGCCTGTGAGTTGCCCAAGCCCCAGTCCGGGAGGAGAGATTGCCTGCTAGCTGCCCAAGCTCCACTCTGGGGGAGAGATTGCCTGCCAGTTGCTTGAGGATTCAGCCCAAAAGAGGAGACCACACGCATGATCCGGACTCCAACAGGTACCTGTGTTCCACTTTTATCTTTGGGAGACCAGGCACCCTGTCGGATCCGTGAGTACATGCTTTCTCCCTGTTTTACCTGAACTGTTCCTGTACTGCCCCCCCCCCCCCCCCCCCCCCCCCCCCCCTTGTCGGATAACAATTGCTACAGAGACTCTTCCTTGGCTCTCAGTTCTGGACTATAAGCAGATTGGCCCCTCCTTGCTACCCTTTACTGGCAAATTCACCCTCCCTGCCGATCCCTCTATTGCGTGACTGTCATCTGTTTGTCTCAGTAAAGCTTTGTGCATTTGCCATCTACTCTGTGTGTTCTGTCCTGCCTACCCTCCGTGAATTGTGAATTAAGAAAAAAAAAACACTAAAATGACTTATACAGATATGATTAGCTGAACACTGCTTTTAGAACTCCAGAATGATCAGTGCAGAACACCATGAATGCCCAGATTATAATAAAATGGCAAGGGATCCCCAAGAGTAACATTCATATTATTATTATTCAATATTTATAAAGCACCAGCTGTCTACGCAGCGCTTTACAATATAAAGGGGGACAGTACAACTAAAATACAGTTCAATACAGAAAAAATAGGAGGTGATATTAGACATCATGCCTTTCAGCATTGAGGAATATTTTGTAAAAGCTTCTCCAAAAACTGGGAAACTCATTCCAATGCTGACATGCACCAGGCTGTTTAAAACCCTGGTGTCAATGTGGGGGTGCTGGCAAAAATAGAGCTTATGTGCCACTCATCTACTCCCCATGGGAATGAATAGATATTTACCTCCTCCTTGGTGAACAGGTTTTTGAAGTTTGGTCCTTTGGTTCCCTAACAAGTTCACCATATGTATATAAAAGTGAAAGGAAATAAACACAGGACACTATAAAGAAATATTTTCTAATTAGCCTATTGAAAAAAAAAGAGAGCACATGCTCTTTCCTACACAGTTATCAAACACCAATAATACACTAGGGATATAGTGGCTGCTTGATGGAACTACAGCACACAAAAGGAGAATAAAGGCATCTGATATACCTAGAAATGCTGCAGATTCTAGAAGAATTTTTAGCTGCAGGAGATGAAGGTTGGATTCACTGGTATCAGATGCAGGGGCGTATTTACCACAAGGCAAACAAGGCACTTGCCTAGGGCGGCATTTTTCAGGGGGGCAGTGCCTCCCCTCAGAAGAAGGGATGGAAGAAGAAGGGACACACACGCCATGGGTACCAGATGGGATCTGAGAGAGACTGCGGACTGCTTTATGGTGTATGTAGAGCCTGACTCTCATTCCCGGGGATGTCTGTAGCTGTGAAGATGAGTGTCTTTCTCTCTATTGCTGGGGGGGGGGGTTAGTGGAAGGATCTCCCAGGTGGGAGGCAGGGGTGTTGTTGGTCAATGTCAGGCTCTTTCCTTGGGAGAGGGAAGGGGGTTGTTGGTTCGTGTCCAGGCAGAGGATCTTTGTGTTTCCTAGGGCAGCACAAAACCTAAATACACCACTGATCAGATGTATACCAAAATGTATGGTATACCAGAGATTTGGTTTCTAACAATAGTGTCTCTTTAACTAGAAGTTACAGTGTTCTTAGAATTTCATTTTAACGAACAATAGGTAATGTTTGCTTTTGCATTTTAAATGAATGTATTATGTGGATTACAACAACAAAGCAGACAGAATAATTTTGTATAAATAAAGTAACCTCCTCCAGAGTGTAATACAGTTTGTAGCCTGTTTAAAATGTAAAGCGCATCCTACTGTGAAAGCGCACGTCGGGCATATTTTATATATGCTTTTAATGAAACCTGCATTTCTGTCATTTACCGCTTTGGTTGAAAAAAAAAAATCATTTAAAAAAGAGAGAAAGAAGGATTTGCTAAAAAAAATATACTTTGCAAAAATGGATGAGTCGGCTGTTACTGATTCCTGGTGCTGTGATTTCCAATTAAAGACTAGAAAAGAAACATTTTGTAATTTAAAAGAAACAATTAAGCGCTTATTCATCCCCTCACCTTATGGTTTCACAATTGTTTATGCCAATGTTTTGGTCTTTGTTCCAAATAAAAAGACAATTTGGTCTTTCTAGAAAACACCATATAAGATAAAGCAACTAATACGCTTCATTTGTAAACATACCTCAAATAAATATTACAAGATCTAGGCTGTTCTGGGGAGAACAAATAACATTTCACAGGTAAAGAACAGGATATGGGCTCCAATACACTTAATTTCATAGTATCTTCCAGCTGTTTGAAATGCTAGCAAATTTCTTCAACATACCAACTGCAAGATTTTCAGTTGGTATTTCTTACACTAGAGCTCTTGGACAATGTAGGCTACACAATCAGTCAAGAAATATATCCATAAAACTATTTCAAAACCAACATCATGAAGGTATGGAACTGTGTACCTTGCTAGACATGGGTATTTGAGACATAGGACCAATTACGAGATGTCCAGTTTGCTGTAGGCACAGACTGAATAGATTGATCTCCCATCCAACAGTGCCTGTAGCCACAGCCAGCAGCATGGGACATGAACTGTGTTCTCTTATCTCTCAAGTATGCAATCCACTGACACCAATGTATGAGTCAGTCTTCCTCCAACCGACCTTTCCTCTATTCCCCTCCCTGCTAGTTCTGTTTAGAGGCATCATACATTTCAGAGAGAGAAATAGATTCTACATGTAGGACTTTTCGTGCGGTTTCAGAATATGCACAAAAACCACCTGATCTAATAGAAGTCTATGACAGAGCACAGGTAACCATATACGAATACCGGGGGTACACTGAGCAGCACTCGCACTGCAGGACAACCACACCGCATCAGTGTGAAAGTGCCCATTAAGTTTTGTGAATTTTGTATTAGGTTTGCAAACTATATTAAAAGTTTATTTGTAAAATAAAGTTTTTTTTATAAATAGTTATAAAAAATATACAAAACTTTTAAAAAGTTGAAAAATAATAAGCTTTAAAGACAAATTAAAATTATTTGGATTCGTAATGCTTATCATTTTTTTTTCACATCACTTTGGGACAATCCAAACTTCTATGAACTGTACTCCTTTGAGGGGCATAGTATATGCCAGTCTTATGGCCTTATTAAATTGTCTTTAAAATCCTTTTCTATTTTTCAAGAGGAGCTAGACAGGGTACTTCTATAAATACAGTATTTGCAGCTCAGACAAGCTTTAAGTTCACAATTTTCCACTACCTCTGTACGGCATTCCGACTAGAAGAAGAAGTCTATTCTGTTCCAACTCAAAGATATCTAACATGTACTCATTCTTGCTTGGAGCGGAGACCACCTATGCTATGGTGACCAATGGATAATATATATAAAAAAAAACCCACAGCCAAGGCCTGGTCCTAAGAATGGTATATCCGCCGGTGCCCAACCATGGGAGATGCTTCCAAGAACAATGCACTGCAAAAAAGAACCCACCAAAGAGGATATAGCATCTTGCAGGCTATCAACGGCAACAATATTCATTATGGACATAATCATGGAGCACTTGGGGGACATTGTCTAGCTCTTTCAGGACAGGGGGCCTAGGGGTACATAGGGAGGGGAGGGTGTGGGGTTGGCCCTGGGTGTACTACAGGGGTGGGGGCCTGACTGAGGGATTCTGGGTTTGTGGGAGATGCGGGGTAGGGGGGATTGGTAGAGGGTGGGGGGGTGTATTTGAGTTGAGGTACATGCATTGATATCATATGTTTTTTGTATTTCTTATTTACATGATTATGTCCAAAATAAATACTGCTGTTGATAGCCTGTGAAGTGCCATATCATCTACGGTGGGTTCTTTTTTTCAGTGACCAGTGGATAACTAGCT